CTCCTGTTGCTGACCCTTCCCAGTAAAGCAATCGATTGTGCAGACCATCATTGGCACCCATAGTTGAAGTTTTGTGTCTTCTTGACTGGGCCAGGATTCTCAAATGTTTAGCAATATGCAAATTAAAATGTAAAATCACCCCATGAGAAAATTAATTATAATGCAATCACCTTCATAATGAGATCTGCTAAGAGCAGCCAATCAATTGAAAGAAAGTTTGTGCAGGAGTATGGCCAGCAGCATTCTTCATCCTAGCAAGAGATGCAAGTAGAGAGAACTGAGCAGAAAAGGAGGACCTTCTACCACCATGAAAGAGCTAGGAGTGAAGTGGATTCTTTGGACCTAGTGTCTCTGCACTGTGGAGTTCCTAAATACAGGGGAAGACTAATGCCAACACACATGGAGATCTCCAAGGAATGTTAGTCCTACAGATGCTGAAAGACAAAGACCTTCTTTCAGAGCTGGCACTTTGAACTGGGACATCTAGACTCTTCAACTGTGAGAGTATTAATTTTTGTTTGATAAAGTCAACCACTTGTGATATTATGTTAACTAAGCAACACTAGTTAACTAAGACCACCTGTTTACCACTCATCTGTCAGTTTATCATACTGTGGTAGCTTGCATGTTGCTGTGATGCTGGAACCGATAATTTAAAAACCAGGGTCATACATGGTGGACAGCTTTCATCTGAGCTTCCAGACTAACAGATAGGAAGAAGTCTAGGCAGACTACTTCTGAATATTTAGCAACCAAAAACCTTATAAATAGCAGTAGAGAGCACCAGAATATTGAATACTGAAATACTATAAATAGCACGAGAATACTATAACATGTAGTGCCAGAAGATGAGTTCCTCAGGTTGGAAGGCACACAAAATATGACTGGGTAAGAACTGCCTCCTCAAAGTAAAGTTGACCATAATGATGTAAATAGAATAAGCTTTCATGAACCAGATGCTGATGGACAATACTCAAAATGAGGCCAACAGAAGTAAAATTCCATTAATAATCAGAATACAGAATGTACCAAGTATGAAACTAGGAAAATTGGAAGTTGTCAAATGTGAAATGTATAACATTTGTGAGCTGAAATGGACTGGTATTGGCCATTTTGAATCTGACAATCTCATGGCTTACTATGCCCAGAATGACAAATTCAAGAAGAAAGGTGTAACATTCATCAACCAAAAGAACATTTCTATATCTATCTTGAAGTATAACACTGTCTGTGATAGGATAATATCCATCCACCTACAGGGAAGAACAGTTAATATAGCTATTACTCAAATCTACACACCAACCCTTAACCAGTGATGATGACATTGAAGAATTTTACCAAATTCTTCAGTCTGAAATTGATCAAACATGCAATCAAGATGTATTAATAAACCACAGAGGACTAGAGTGGAGAGTGAAGGGTCCAGCTAATAAGAAGAGAGGGCATATGCATAAGAACACCCATACTTACAGATAATACCCACTGGACCTGACTTCAATGACTGGATGATCAGAGCTCAACAGAAAGAAGAAAGAAGAGGAAAAAAAAGAATAATATGATATAATTTGATGAACTTGACCTACACCTATGGATGCAGTAGCTCAAAAGAGGGAACAACTTTCTACAGCAAGGATCATTCCCACCCTCTCCATACACAGAGTAGACAGGGATGGGCAACTTGGACATTTGCTACCCAAAATGGGGTGGCTACAAAGGCAAGAAGTGACTGGCTTACAAGCTTTCAAGAAGGAGCCTAGATCCAGAGGGTATGGAGGAAGGTAGAATGTCCACTGAGTAGTATCCAATCTGTCTGGGCAGGGCTAATGAAAGGAGATGGGGATAGGTCCCTTGTGGTACAATGATGAGTAATTGTTATCAAGACTGACTGTGAGGGTTGGAAATGTAAAGGTGGACATTTAGTAGCAAAAGGAGGGGAGTGATTAACTTTGCAGTCCAGGAACAAAGGTCCCTGGAACCATCAAGGGAAAAGAGCAGAGTGCAAGACTCTACCCAGAGATCAGTGATGCCAGAGATGGAGGCAGAGACGATGACGTGGAGAGATGGAGTGGCCGGGGACTCTAGACCCAAAGGGGAGGGTCTGTATGTTGATGACCGGGGGGCAGGTTTGCAGGGTATACCCTGTGGTTGGTTGATGATGCATGGAAAGGAATGTAACCATGGCAATGAAACAATATACAATAGGATGAATATAAAGCTAATGTTCTCCCATGTAAACTATCACATAATTCACAATTAAAAAAAAAAAAGAAAGAAACAGGCCAAAGGGGGCCTCTTGGGTGCATTGGGGAAAAAAAAAAAAAAAGATATATTAATAATTACTGGTGATTGGAATGCAAAAGACTGGAAACAAAGACAAAGGATCAGTAATTGGAAAATACAGCCTTGGTGATAGGAATAGTGTTAGAGATAACATAATAGAATTTTGCTAGGCCAATAACTTCATTGTAAATATCTTTTTAAAACAATTTAAAAGAAGACTATCCACACATGGTGGACCTCACCAGATGAAATACACAGGGATCAAATTAACTATATCTGTGGAAAGAGATGGTGGAAACAACCAAGGGCACACTGTGGAACAGATGACCAACTGCTCATATGTAAATTCAGCTAAAACAGGAAAAAAAAAAAAAATGAGAACATGTCCATGAGAGTAAAAATATGACTTTCAACATATCCCACTTTAATTTAAAGATCATCTCAAAAATAAATTTGGCATATTAAACCAAAGGCCAGAGAGTTGTGAGATGACATCATGAATAGCATAGGGAAGAAAGCATTCTTGTCATTAAGAAGATAAGAAGAATAAGACCAAAATGGATGTCAGAAGAGACTCTGAAACTTACTCTCCAGAACAAAGAAGATGAAGTAAACAGAAGAAATGAGGAGGTAAAGGAGCTGAAAAGAAAATTTCAAAGGGCAGCTCCAGAAGATAAAGTCAAGTATTATAATGAAATGTGCACAGACCCAGAGTTAGAAAATGAAAAGGGAAGAATACACTCAGCATTTTTCCAGCTCACAGTACTGAAGAAAAAATATTCAAGCCTCGACTTGCAATATTGAAGGATTCTATGGGCAAAATATTGAATGATGCAAAATATTGAAAGCAACAAAAGAAGATGGAAAGACTACACAGAGTCACTGTACCCAATAGAAATAAACAATATTCAACCATTTCAAGAAGTGGTATATGATCAAGAACCAATAGTACTGAAGGAAGAAATCCAAGGTACACTGAAGGCAGTGTCAAAGACCAAGGCTCTGTAAACTGATGGAATTTAAATTGAACTATTTCAAAAAACTGATGTAGCACTGGAGGCACATCTATGCCAAGAAATTTGGAAGACAGTTACCTGCCCAATTATTGGAAAAGATCCACATTTGTGTCCATTCCAAGGAAAGGTGACCCAAGGATCTGTGGAAGTCATCAGCCAATATCATTAATATCACATGCAAGTAAAATTTTGCTAAAGATAATTCAAAAACAGCTACAGCATTACATTGACATAGAACTGCCAGAGGTCCAAGCTAGATTTAGAGGAAAACATGGAATGAGGAATGTCACTGCTCATGTAAGATGGATGTTGGCTAAAAGAAGAGAGTACCAGAAATATGCTTAGCTGTGTTTTATTGACTAGTCAAAGGCTTCCAACTCTGTGGAACATGACAAGTTATGGATAACATTGCAAAAAAATGGGTGTTCCAGAATACTTAATTGTGCTCAACAGGAATTTGAAAGTAGACCAAGAAGACCAAATAGAACAAGGAGCTACTGAATGGTTTAAAATCAGGAAAGGTGTGCACCAGGGTTGTACTACGTTTTCACCATACTTATTCAATCTGTATGCTGAGCAAATAATCTAAGAATGTTAATTACATGAAAAAGAACATGACATCAGGTTTTGAGGAAGACTAATTAACAACCTAGTATATGCAAACGATACAATTTTACTAGCTGAAAACAAAGAGGACTTAAAATACTTACTGATGAAGATCAAAGATCACAGTCTTCAGTACAGGTCACACTTCAATGTAAACAAACAAACAAAACCCTCACACCTGGACCAGTAAATACCATCATGGCAAATGGAGAAAAGATTGAGGATTTCATTTTGTTTTGATCCACTATTCACACTCATGGAAGCAGCAGTCAAGAAAACAATGTATTACATTGGGCATATCTGCTACACAAGACCTCTTTAAGGTATTCTAGAGCAAAGATGTCAGTTTGATGACTAAGGGTGCCTGACACATGCCAAAGTATTTTTAATAGCCTCATATGCATGTGAAAAATGTACAATATAAGGAAGACTATATAAGAATTGGTGTATTCGAGATACGGTGCTCAAGAAGAATATTAAAGTACCATGGCCTGCCAGAAGAGCAAATATATCTGTGCTAGAAAAAAAAGTACAGCCAGATTGCTCCTTAGAAACCAGGATGGCGAGACTTTGTCTCTCATACTTTGTACTTGTTAACAGGAGACAGAAGACCCTGGAAAATGGCATCATTCTTGGTAAAGTAGAGGGTCAGCCCAAAAGTTAAATACCAATTCCACTCTAACCCGCTCCTGCAACTAGATGGATTGACACAGTGGCAGCACCAACGGGCTCAAATGTAGCAACAATTGTGGCGATTGTGCAGGACTGAGCGGTGTTTCTTTCTGTTGTGCATAAAGCCACTATGAGTTGGCACTGACACAATGACACCTATCAATAACAAGATAATTATGACAAACATTTTGAGGGTTAACAGAGCCTCCACCCCTTTACTTTCACAAGACTCCTTGGACCGTCCGTACACAGGAAGTCAGCACACAAGTGCCACTGGCAGCAACCAAGGCTGCCACAGGGTCTTCCCTGCCCTCCTGCTGAAGCTGGACATATGATCTATGTTCAACTCACTGCATGTCCAGTTCCACTGCACAATATAAATTGCCTTCTCAGACCACATCCCCACCCTTGTTACTTTCTCCTTACTTTATAGATGAAATTCCGCAGGTTCAGATTTCGACTCATCAGCACAAGCAGAGAATATACTTCTGTTCCGGGGAGGGCACACAGTTCCTTCATTGCAAGAAGAGATGTTTTGTCCTCATGAACTGTCAGCAGGAGACGAAGGATGTCTTGATCACATCTTCCAGACAAAGCTACCGTAAGGACATTAGAGAGAACCTGTTTCAAAGCATATGGATAATAATGAACACAAAATATCTCAAATGCAGAGTTTCTTTAAGGGTGAATAATCCATGAGCCCATTTTCCTCAAACGCAGGAAGACTTATCCATAGTAACATGAATGCAAATCTGTCATATTTGGGATATTCCACAGGAGAAAGATGAGGTTTTCTGATCCTGTAAAGATTTACAGCCTCAGAAACCCTATATAGGGTCACTATCAGTTGGAACCGACTCCACAGCACATAGCCGCCACCACCACCACCTTAATAGCATTATTCCTAAAATATATACATAATTATCTGCCTTATTTTTTAGCAACATACACTTTTTGATTCCTCAGATGTTCTGGTAGCTTAGTGGTTATGAATCAGGCTGCGAACCTTAAGGTCAGCAGTTCAAAAAAGCCAGCTGTTCCATAGGAGAAAGATGAGGCTTTCTGCTCCCGTAAAGATTTACAGCCTTGGCAACCCTGTACATAGTCGCTATGAGTCAGAACCAACTCCATGGCACATACTACAACAAAAACAATGTGCCTCTCAAATGTGCCCCCACACTGCACTCCTAGTCATCCACACATTGCTCTGAGAATTTGTAATTGGGTCCTTTCTGCCTAAGTCTAACTTGTTGCTTCCAGTTTATCAGCTCTCATTTATTGGTGTGTAGCTATTATATTTCTTTGTCATTTCTGGACCAAAAAACAGATTAGAAAATGTGTTACAACTTTTTCCAAGGAGTACTAAATTCAGGAGGGGCTGAGGACTCATTCGTAGGATGTGGCTTTCAAAAAGTTTGTAGAAAAAATGGAATTGAAAGATAATGGTATTTTTCCATGAACTTTTTGAATCCTTCTCTTAATAGTAATACACATCTCTGTCTCTCTCTCTCTCTCTCTCTCTCTCTCTC